CAGCATGTACCCAAAGGGAGAAACTGGTCTCTTTGCATCTGCTCCTCACCACTCCCAGCTTTTGCTTTTATATTTTAAATAATACAGTAAAATCCAAATGCCTTGTAAGAAGAACAAAAGCCCTAGCCACTGACCAGCAGCTAGCGAAAGAACAGTGCTCTTTCTTTTTCTTGGCTGCTCAGTGGAGTAATTTACAGGGGGCTGTGCATTTAACCACCCTTGTCATGCTCCATTATCATCCATTTGCCAACCCATCAAGGAGAGAAATGCTGCTTATTTGGGGTGCCATTTACGTGCTGAGTGATTGGAAGCAAAGAGAAGCTGAAGATAATGGGGACGGACAGATTCAAATACCACAGATTGGATTCTTATCTCGTTACGCCTGTGTAAATCTGGAGCAACTCAAATTGACTTCAGCGGAGTAACTCTAGATTGGTGTCAGCTCAGAATCTAGCCCTGTGCTTCTGTCGGAGTGAATTAAGGTGCAGCAGGGGACTAAGGGGGCTTGGACAGCGCCATGATCAGCTTCTGTGCCTGTGTGTTATCGATCCCACAGTCTTCGAGTACAGCAGTGGCCCTGGCATGGTTCTGTTAGAGACAAAGAAGGAGACTATTTGGGGGGGATGATTGACCTTTTTGGAGACAAGGCTGGTTTGATTCAGGGTCTAAATTGTTTCTGTGACTCCTCCTCCTGTAATTGAGCTGTTTGTGGTCTTTGTTGCAGAGATGAGCCAGAGAGGATGGCAGGTGCTGCTCTCAGTGATATCAGTGCAATGCCACTGAAGACGGAGAGGTGGAGTCAGTGGTGGAGCTGAGAAAAGAACCCAACGGGCTCATCTAAACCCCTGTGCACCAACACATTCAAATTAATCCAGATGCTACTTTTCGCATCCACCCCCCCCCCCGCCCCCCAAATAGTCTCCTTCTTTGTCTCTAACATTCCTCAACTCTGTCTGATTCACACATAAGCTTCTGCCCAGTACAGGAGCCTGGCTGTGACAATTCCCCTTGCCACCTTGCAGAGATTGATGCTCTTGTGTGAGTGGAAGCTTGCCAGCATTTGATGCAGTTTTACTAATTCTGGCCCCGATCCATGGGTGTGGACCACAGCACAGAGCTCCACTATAAACAAAGGGGCTCTCTGCAGGTGCAGGGGGTCTGTCTGCATGGGTCCCATTTCAGGAGCCTTAGTGCATAGTGGAACTACAAATATAACCACAAAGCAGTTAAACTTTGATGCATGGAGAGGACCTAACTGTATCCCCCTTATTTATTTCTGTAATGGGCCACAAGGGAGATGGTTTTGCTCTGAGTAGTTCCTCACACTGCTCCCTTCATCTCAATTGACCAACTCTTCATTTAATTACATCCCTTCCTAGCTCTTTTTATTTCTAATTAAGACAATTTGTCAGGTAATTACAATCATGTTTGTCTTTGAGACACTCAATGACCTGGGCCCAGGGTATCCAAAAGGTTGGAAAGCTCCAGGATGAAGACCATAGTTGTCAATGGCACGCCTCTGGCTCAATGGAATGGCAGGTTCCAGCTTTCCTGTGTCAGAAACTCAGCGTTCTTGGGGGCCAGTCCCAGCCTGTGAAATGAACTGGCCCAGGAACTAAGGACCACCATTCACCTCACCACCTCCACTCCAAGTGTAAGGCACCTGTCTTCTCAAACACAAACCCAGAGCAGCGTGTACATTTAAAAAAAAATCCTCCACAAAATAAAGCCCACCATTGCATACACAGTTCTCCGCCGAGAGAGAACAAACTGAGTGTAACAGATGTTAGTCACAGTGCTCAGCGGAAGGCACATTAAGGTGAGAACCTATATAGACGAGGATAGTCTGCAGAGCCTAAATTCCTTCTACTAGGACAATACAAGGCTGTTCTGTTCTAGGACAGCGCTGAATGATACAGTAACAGGAAAGATGGAGAAGACCTTTAGGTCATCCAGTCCATCCCCTCTGCTACTGCAGGACAGAGTGGTACATATGGTAGTGAGACATGAAAAACTAAATGCCACATTGCACATATGCTCACACTGGAGCTGCAGGGAATCCTGCTTTGTGCTGGGATTTCTATGCTAATGAGGGGCCCTGAAATGCACACAGTATTGCACATGCAGTCACATCAGAACCCCAAAGTGGAGGATTACTGCCTCTCAGCTCTGTGAACTGAGGAGTCAAGTAACATGTACTGTCCACAATTGGGACATAAAAACTGCCAGACTGGACCAGACCCATGATCCATGTAGTCAGTCCCGTATCCTGTCTCTGCCAGCAGACAGCATCTGGGAGTGAACCGATGAAGTGAGCTGTAGCCCACGAAAGCTTATGCTTAAATAAATTGGTTAGTCTCTAAGGTGCCACAAGTACTCCTTTTCTTTTTGCGAATACAGACTAACACGGCTGCTACTCTGAAACCTAGAGGGGATGTGATCCGTGTACTGCTTTGGGATGAAGGCAGTATTGCCAACCTCAAGCATTCAAATATCATATCAGGCCCCCAACATTTCATGGGATTTAAAAAAAACTAATAATGGGGGAGTTCTATTAATTTGTCATCTGGTTTCTGAATCTTTTGGTTGCACTCACTTCCATTTTCAAGTTTTTCTCTGAAAAAAAAAAATCACAAGGACTAGAAACTTAAAAAAAAAAAAAAAGGACAGATTCTCACATGATCACCTGACTCCAGCAGTTCGAGCTTTACGAAATATATCAACAAGTGTGGGATTGGTGATACAATCACAAGAGCTAGCAATGCTGGAAAAGGCACCATCATCTTTACCAAGCGTACTACAGGCAGCAGCTAGTAGCCCTGCTTGTAGGTAAGGTTGCCCAGCAGTTCCCTTTATATAGCAATGAGAATGACTCAACGCTCCTCCCAGGCTCCTGGCGTGGTCTCCACCAGCAAGCCCACTGCCCTTCACTGCAGCCTGCAACCCACCAGCCAAACTCCTCCGGTGAGTAACACGCCAGCCTGCAGCTGTTAATCAGGACCCCATTTTGTAGCTGGCAATCATACTTGCCTTGGTGAAATAAATACATGGCAGCGCTCTGCCTGGGGTTGGAGTGTCTAGTCCTTCACCCCATAATGAGGCTGTACCTGCTTTTTAGGTATATTTTGTAACATTTTCAGTCAGGCACTAGCTTGGACAGCCCTTCCAGCCCCATCTCTCGCAGACGTAATGCGGGGCATGCTGTGCCCCGGTGGGGGCTTCTAGTCATCGGCGTCGCAGCGCTGGCAAAATGGCGGCGCCCATACTGAGCGCGGCGCTGTACGGAATACGGACCGGGCGGGCGTTCAGTACCGCTGGTGAATGATCGCTCTTATCCCCGGAGCCACGCGGCGCTCGGGCCCCTGGGGCTGACTCGCCGGGCGGAGCGGGAGCACGGGGGCTGGTGCGCCCGGGGTGGGGGGCTGAGCTCTCGGATACCTGAGTTCCCGAGATACATATGGGGGCAGCCGCCTGTTCTGGGATTCCGGGGTGGGTGGGCTCTCGGACACCTGAGTTCCCTTCTCCCTCGCTGTGTGTGGGAGGCTTGTGTCCCAGGGTTTCAGAGAGGGGCAGCGTCTCGGACGCCTGGGTTCCCTTCCCAGCTGTCACTCGCTATACAGGGCGGCCATCTGTCCCAGGGTTTGAGAGGGGCAGCGTCTCGGACGCCTGGGTTCCCTTCCCAGCTGTCACTCACTATGCAGGGCGGCCATCTGTCCCAGGGTTTGAGAGGGGCAGCGTCTCGGACGCCTGGGTTCCCTTCCCAGCTGTCACTCACTATGCAGGGCGGTCATCTGTCCCAGGGTTTCAGAGCGGGGACAGCCCTTTGCACATCTGGGTTCCCTTCCCAGCTCCCACTTGCTGTGTGGGCGGTTGCCTGTCCTGAGCTGCCCCAGTCCCTACCAATGACAGACATGCAGCTTGCTGGATGTTCCGGGGCCTGTAACCCCCTTTAGGGCCATGGTGGCATCAGAGTGCTGGTTCAGTGTGGTGGTGACATCTCTCTGCCTGCTGCAGTGACTGCGAGTGACATAGCAGGAGTGCAGTGGGATGGGGAATTGATGTAGCATCTCAGCACATGGTCACCCCGTTGCTGTGCTGGCCACTGGGGGCTCGCTTCCTTCCTTACCCATTTGTAAAACATGCATAAAGAACGCTGGCCTGTGCAGCTACAAGTAGGGTTCCCACCTGCTCTGAATTTGGGGGGTAATATCAAACTTACTGCACTGATCCCATGGTGTGCTGGATCACCCCCAAAATTACTAGGGGCTGAGAATAAGCAACGTATTTTGATCTTAATATAAATTCAAAGCCCTCCACAGAACTGGCTCAGGTTACTGGAGAAACAATCCATTTCTGCGTGGCCATGACTATCCTCAATAGTTATGTAATGGAAAGGTCCACTTGTAAGCACGAGGAATGGCGCTGTCTCAGCAGCTGGCCGGGACGGTAGAACTTGGTCCTGGAACCCATCGGAGTGTTCACATATTTCGCTGCCTTGAAAACAATTTTTTAAAAGTGTATGTGGGGGAAGAGGGGTAATTTAAAAACACACCAAGGAGGAAAATTTAACCTACCCTTCCCACAAAATTAAACTGCCCAGGTACCATGGTGATGAGCAGAGTGTATAAACCTCAGTAGAGTGTGTTGGAAATGGTAGAAACTTGTCCTTGATATCAAAGTTTGGTTTTTTTCGCACTTTTCCCTTAAGGATGTTAAAGTACTGTACAAAGGTTAATGGACTGAGCCTCACATGCACTGCTGTATATCATCATCTTACGGATAGAGAAGCTGAGAGAACAGAAATTAAGCTTCTGGCCCGAGGCTACAGCAGGCTGGGGGTACAGCTGGGAATAAAACCCAGGTCTCCTAACTTCCAGGGCTATGCTGTAGTCACAAAACCATCTTTGTACTGTTCGTCCAGTCTAAGCCTGCTCTGATCTTGTCTGTCTAGCATGTGATTGTCAGTGTCTTTGGAAAATGAAAACCTCCTGTGTTTTCAGCTGCTCTCTGCAAGCGGGCAGCCCCTCTAGGGCCAATGCCTAATGAAGACATAGATGTCAGCAACTTGGAGACATTGGAGAAATACCGCAGCTTCACTCGCTATTTCAAAGTGGCTGAAAAGGAGAGTAAGAAGACTCACTGGTGGCAAACATACAGGAAGCATATCGCACCAGAGCAAGGTACCCAAGGGGAAGGAGATGAGTTACTTTCCAATTCTGTTGCTGGAGGGAAGGGGGAGCTATTTGTAGGCCAGTAGTTATGCATGTAGCACCAAAATGTGCTCCACAAGGGATTGATCAAACACTTGTGTGGGTAGTAGACCCCTTGCTGCTGTAGAAATTTGCAAAGGCTATGCTCCCTTCAAGGAAACTGACTAGAATTTTCCTCTTAAAGGAAAGGGCTTGCCAGATGCAACTAAATCTTTGTCTTCCTTTGACTCAAAGATTAAGGAGGAGAGTAAGGAAGCTATTTCTTGGGGCTCCTGTAATACAAAGGAAAATAAATTATAAGGTCTCCAAGTCCTCCTTTTGAAGTTTGTAGCTTTTTAGTTTCTAATGATGTATTATATTTATTTTAATTCATAAAACAGGTAGTGAGCACCCACCCTGTGCTCACAGTCCCAGATCCTCAAAGATAGGAGCTGAAATGCCTTTGGGCCTGAGTGCCTTTCCACCACTTAGTTTTCAGTTAACCAAGCCAGATAATGAGCTGTGTTTCACACCTAAAAGTAAATAACCACCTACAAGCATTGTAAACTCAAAATTCCCTTCTTGTAAAAGGCATAACAGCTCATAACCTCTCCAACCCATCCCTTCCCAAATGCTATAGAGCAAAGTCATCTCGAAAGAGCATCTGACTTATTATTCTCATTTATCTAACAATAACCCTAATAGACAAAGATTGAGGGACCTGGTTTTATATAATGCCATAGTGAGGTGAAAGACACATCCAGCTGTCCTTTGTAAGGAGGTAATATTATAAGCCAGATATTGTTTGAGTGCTGTCAGTGTGCTTGGCATTGTATAAACATAAGGAAGATACAGTCCCAAAATTTAGTCTAAATTAGACCTACAGTACAGCTTAGGTGATTGTAAAGCAGGGAGTGGAAATACCCATGGGTGTATCTGTAGACCTGTTTAACGGGCTTGATACTTACTCAAGCAAAACTCAGTCTTAAATGAGCTTCAGCGAGAGTGTGAGGTCCTTTTTATAATTAGATGTCTCCAAATCTTTTACAAAGCATTGTTAGATACTGGGGTTGTAATGGTTGCACAGACAGAATAGCCAACACTCATGCACTAGCTCCCCGATTGACTAGAGCATCAGAATCAGTTGTACTGAGAAGTCGTGGCTAACGTTCCACTTGAGTTATTCCTTACGTGCTTTCTGGGAAAGTGCCTTGGGATTTTTATCTTCTACGAGAGACTGGCAGAAGGGACCCTGTTCCATGTCCCACTTGAAGGAGGGCACCTGTAACAGGATTGTGCTTTAGTAGTAGCACTGACAACACTAGATGTTTCAGTGGTATCAGAGTCTCTCATTTGCCGGGCAGCTAGAATATATGGCGTGGACCAAATACTATCCCAGTCTTGTTATGAGTTCCATGCAGGCACAGGGCTCTGTCTGCACAGAGCTCATTGCAGGATCAGGGCTTATGTCTGTAATTCATCTGATTGTTTATATCCCTCATGCATTTTTGGTTTGTCTGTCACACTTGCCCATGACTGCTGGACAGAAAGAACAGAATGGGGCTTATTTTAGGTTTCTCACTTACATGATTTTGACCTTAGATGAAGAGGCAAAGATAGACATTGGCCTGCCTTACTACAGACCACCACGGGCAAAGCAACTGAAGGAGAGAAAAGAGATATTGAAACAGAACCGCCAGAGTGTGGAAATGGAAAGAGCATCCCGCCTCAGGACATGTATGTACCCTGCAGTCTTGGTTTCCTCTTCTTCTGTATCTGTGGTGGCTTTGACAACCCTTCCACGTATCTCACTACTCCTTATTTGCAATTGCAGTGGTGATTCCACTTGACGAAGTCAAGGCAGAGTGGGAGAAAACCAATGGCCTGTTGCATAAGCAGCGTGTCGCTGAGCACTACGGGATATACCGCGATATGTTTGACAAAGCCATATTCGTCCCCAGAGTGGTTCTGCGAGTAGAATACAACCTAGATGATGAGCATGTCATGCCAGTATATCATGGGAATTTTGTGACGCCCACCGAGGTATCTTATAATTGATCACTAGGAAGTGTGCCCACACAAGGTTTAACTAGCCTGACAGCACAGATGTTTACTTTAAGAGGAATGTTCTTTTACAATGGAAAATCATATGCTTTAGAAATACTTCTAGTTAAGATAAGGAAAGAGCATTACAATGGATTCATTTTTAAATGAAATGGCAAACTTGCTTTTAATAAAACTCCCCTGCCTTTCCTGATGGAAATTGGTTGGTTCTGTGGCAAAGCCAGATTTGATTTGTTCTGTCAGGGCTGTTTTTATTGTACAGGTTATGTCAGAGTGACTAATTCAGATTCTCTGGTTTTCAAAAAGAAACTAATTTTAATGCAAACAATCCTTTGGAGCTTTTACTGGGGATTCTTACGTTCGCGACTGTCTCGTTACATTGCTTATTTAGGCTTCCAGTCCCCCAGAAGTGATATATGAGGCAGATGAAGGCTCCCTGTGGACTCTGCTGCTCACTAATCTGGGTGTGTATCAAGACTTTCAAGAACTGCCTTAAACTGGATGTTTCTATCCTCTTTTTGTTTTGAAAATCTTATTACTTTGGGCTGCGTAACCTGAGCGATGCAGCGGGGTGGTCATTCCGTAGGGATTGTTCAGCCACACCTGCAAAATCACTCCAGAAACTGTACATAGAATGGTTAGAATGGAAAGATCTGCTTGGCAGAAGGTGGTGGAGCTGTATGAAGGAATAGCAATACTCTGCTCCTCTGGCCCACCTTTAATCGGGGGGATTAGTCATTTTGCAAAATGACATGTGAATGCTAAATAGTGTCACAATTTTCTTTACATACACTGAAGAGTTCAGCCTTGCAAAATCTCTGTGAGGATGGCAATACTGTGCCCATTTTTCAGGCAGAGAAATAGAGAATGGTGAAATGATTTGCCCAGTGTCTGACACACTGAAAGGGAAGCCAGGAAAAGAAAGCTGGTTTCCTGACTCCCAATCTTGTGTGTAACTGGAAGACTGTCCTCCTCTGCACGTCTCATACACAGAGCTTTATATTTCCAAAATGTTCTTACCAACATTAACTGATTTCCACAACATCCTTGTGAAGTAGGTAAGTCAGTATCTCTGTCCCCGTTTTATGGATTAGGGAATCGAGGTGCAGCAACGTTAAGTGACTCCCCCATGGTCACGTAGTGAGTCTGTGTCGACACAGAGGTTGGAACTCAGGGGTTGCTGGCTCACAGCCTTGACCTCCATCCTCTGGGGACTTGTTCCAGTTGTTCTTCTGACACAATAAAGGGTTGGTAGAGAGCAGCTGAAAGGTCTGGAGAAATCATCCCCTTTTCCTGTTGGACCTAGGGAATTCTGGCTTTGGAGAAGATCCTATCAATAAGGCAGCAGGCGAACAAATAGTACTGTCATTAAGACATGTTTTTCTCTGTGTGTGTGTGCGCAGATGGACACCTGCGAGACGCTGATTCTGAGTACGTCCACTGGCTGGTGTGAGTATTGCAAACCAATACATCTGTGCAATGCATGTGGATCAGGGACTTCAGCCCCGGCCTCCTAAGCCCTGTGAGAGGAAAAATGATCAAAGAAATGGTGAAAGAGCTTCCCAACAGAGCTTTGAAATGTTGTTGCCACAAAGACAAAATCTGTCAAACATCGACCTGGCTTTTCCCTGATCATCTGGCCTGCGTAGCGCTGGTCAGACATCTGTCCTGGAGCACTGTTAATGCTAAAGCTAGAGTAGTTCCAGGAATGGTTACTGTTTTCTGTTTAGATCTATGGATGTGATTTGCGGCTTCCCTTGACTAGGTCTGTCTCCAGTAGCTGCATGCTTGCTATGACAGGGAATAGCCCACAGCTACACAAGGGGAGAGCAGGCCACAGATCTTCCCACGCACAACTTCAATGCTATGGTTTTGATCAGAGATGGCGAAAAGAAAAGAAAACCAGTCACTTGGATAATGACTGAAAAATTTCTTGCACTTCACAGGACTAACATTCCTGGCAACAACGTAGATTCGGGGAAAGAGATTTGCCATTACTTCCCCCCATTCCCTGCCAAGGGAACTGGCTACCACCGCTTCGTCTTCCTCCTCTTCAAGCAGGACCAACCAATCGATTTCATTGAAGATGTTCGGCCGACCCCATGGTAACTTTGAATCTTGAATTCCTGTCAGGTTCTTGTGCCCTGTGTGATCATAGCGCACAAAGCTGATCTCTCAACTGAAAAAATCCCGCTGCTCTCTGAAAACATTTTACTCACTGAGATTACTTGTAACAATAACTGACCGTAATTGAAAGGTGATTTCCCTCTGTTTCAGCTTGTTTCCTTTGCACTTGGGACAGTGCTGGCTGCATAGTCAGTTTTGCTGTTTCCCTTGCTTATTTGTTTCCACTAACAAAACAAATCCTCCGCAGGTTGTATGCGCAGCTGGTCTGTGAAGACACATGATGGTATTACTGCTACCACAGCCTGCCCCATTTCACCCACCTGTTATACCTTTTCTTAAATGAAGGCCCCAGTCCTGCAGGGGGATCAGTATGGAAGACGCTTGCACCTCCATGGCATCCCATTGACTTTGCCGGTAGAACAGGATGTTAAGAAAATGACTTGCCAGATTGAAGTGACAAGGCCAATTTATGTATGGCTGGTATGCTTCCACCTCAGGCTGCCTAGGGAGTTTGACTTTCAATAGCCATGTAGGTTTCTCTCCTGGGGTCTGTTTCTTCTCTATCTCTGCAGAATCTGTGGTGATGCTGGATTGTTAGCCATGAAAAAGAGAGACCCATCCCTGTATTCCTGTCTTGTTTTCAGCCACAGTCTCAAGATGAGAACCTTCAAGACATTTGACTTCTACAAGAAGCACCAGAACGATATGACGCCAGCTGGGCTGGCATTTTTCCAGTGCCAATGGGATGATTCCGTTACTAACATCTTTCACAACCATCTCAGTAAGAAACTCACTTTATAGGGTTACAGGGCAGTGGCTGTTGCATGGGGCGGGGGTCCCCAGTCAAGCATAACTAAATGTATCCTGTAGGAGACAAAGTCATTTGGTAGGTCCTGGAGTTGGGAAAGGAGGACAAGGGGATGAAAGCTGTTTGCTCAAATGTCACACACTTGACTTAAATCAACCAGGGCCATGGGGGCTCTCTGTGATGGAGCAGTTGAGGGTTCCTGGAGGCATGGGCGTGTCTGAGCGTGGGGTGAATGCTAAGGCTGGTTCTGAATGTCCCCCTTTGGGACAGTTGCTCTAACTGGTTTCTAGATAGCCACGTATCACTAGCACTTTAGTTTGACACTGGGAACATTTACAGTTGAGAATTAAAAGCAGTCGCCTTCTCTTTCAAAGGTTGCAGTGTGCCCATGGCAGTCTAAGGGAACAGCCTTACTGTGGTGGGCTTTGAATCCCATTTCGACTGGGCACTTTAAAATAACAATGGGAGATCACATGGTGGAGAGAACTACACGTGTGTGTTTGATCTATCGTTAGTCTCCCGTTCTGCCCAACAAGGGAGACGTGGCATCTTCGGAACGATGGAGAGTGGGCGGAGCCCGGTGTGTTGGTGTGCAGGGTTAGGTTTTGAGCTGTCTCTTGGCTAACGTTCAGCATTGTCCCTTTGCAGACATGAAGGAGCCAGTGTTTGAGTTTGTGCGACCTCCTGTGTATCACCCCCCTCAGAAGAAGTTTCCGCACCTGCAGCCTCTGAGGTACCTGGATAGGTACAGGGACAGCCACGAGCCCACGTATGGCATTTACTGAGGAGTTTGCCACCTCTCCAGGAGGTCCAGGCCATTGGGGCAGGAATACTCTATCTTCTCCAGATGCGTCAAATGACTGTGCTGTCTGGGATGCTCCATGTCTCTGGGAGAGGGGAGTGGGGACTTCTGGAATCACAGCATTGGCAGTTACCTGGTCAAAAGCCTTGTTAATAGAGAGTATTTATGGCCATGAGAGGGTATCCATCTCCCCTCTGAAGGACTTTGAGCCAGATGCTAGTGGTAGCTGAATGGCCCAGTGTCCTCCAAGGGCACCGTGTCTCATGTCACTGCAGGAGCCAGGGCTCTAAGCATAGGTGTACCAAGGCTGACTCAGTCTGGTTAGCCAGTTCAGATCATGTATTTGTGCAGTGATAGAAAAATAACCTCATCTAAATCCAACCCAGTGATTTGTGCAACCTGGCAGAGGCAGAACTGTCCATCCGGTCCGTCTCCTCTTTCCCCTGCCATGAACTTCCCAGGGCTGGGATCCTGAGCGGCATCCTTCATATTTTCATACAGATATTTAAAAAATCTGAATAAACCCTTTCCAAGCGAAGCTGGTGACGTGACTGGGTGAGAGTCGCTATCAGCTTTGGGGAACCCACAGGGATCCTGCCAGCAGCTAATGCAGCAGTTTGAAATGTATTGGGTTCTTTGAGCATTTCAGGACTGATGGGATCAATGCTCGATGCTGAACAGCAGCCTCTTGCTGCTCTGGACCCTCACTCCCCCGCCCCTCTTGGTCACTGCCATGTGGGAGGAAATGCTGGTACAGCGGGGGTTTGAAATAGAGGTCACATTAGGATGACCAGGCTGCCTCGAGTTTGAGAATGGGAGTGAAGGGGCTGGGTCCTACCCCCAAATGAAGAGAACACAAACTCCAGGTATGGTCCAAACTCACCTCCTTCCTCGTAGGCCATGGACGAGGTCTGTATGTTGTTAGTAGATATGGATCAAAACCAGAACTCAAATCTGCCTGGGTTTGGGCTGAGACCCGTTGGCACGCCAGTGGGTACGGGATGCTTACATCACAGGCAGCAGTGCGTCTGCTGTGTAGATACACGGTGCCTTCCAATCACCAGTACTCTGACTCCAGCACCTATCCCCAACCTTAAATTAACCCCCCCACACACCCCCATAATATCAACACCCCTGCTCCAACTCTCCAGGACTCCAGCTGTGTATTCCCTGCAATAGCTCCTGTTCACAGGGGTTGCCTGTCACTGTATCTGAGGTATCCCTCTTGTTAAAGGAGTAAGAGTACCGACAAAAGACATTTAGTGGCTGAGTATCCGCCCTTCTCCATAACTACTTCTGTGCCACAACGATGGATGCACCAACGGCCGGGCCAGCAGGCTGCCCTGGGATTTCTTCTTTCTGCCGCCTCAGGCAGCCTACAAATCTCTGCTCAGAGTGCAATACCTCTCTGAGGGTGGGACACGGCTGCTGAGGGAGCACAGGGAGTTTATTGGCCACTCTCTGTCTGTATTGGGATACGATTGGCCTGATTTTCCTCTAAATCAAACCACAGACCACCTGGTGCTGCAGGGAGAGTACAGGCAGCAGCTTACTTGATATGTGGGGAGTCTGTGTAGCCTGGAGTCTTGCAGAAATAAGAGCCTCAGAGAGAGGTCTTTAGGGGGGAGAGTGGAGGCCTGGGGGGAAGAGTAGGGAGCATGTACATAGAGGGGGTAGGTGGGGAGGGAAGCAGCCCCCTGGAGTATGGAGTGGTGGTGGGGGAAATCAGGGACTGTTTATAACAAACTCTGGGTTTTTCAGCTCAACCTCTGCAAATATTGACCCTGGTAGGAGAAGGACTGGGGGTCTCTGTGTATGGCGTTGCCACTGGTTTTGCAAGGGGCAGAATTCTGGCTGGGGCTGGAGCCAGTCACCCTAGATGTCAGACTCTCCAGCCCAGTTGTGCATTTGAGACTTTGGAGTGGCTGCCTGTCCCCATTGCCCAACCTGGAGCTGAGCAGCCAATCAGAACCGCTGCAGGAAGAGCTCTTTCCCCCTCCTCCAGCAACCCAAACATTTTCAGAAGAGGGACCTGCGGGGGGGTCCCCCTTTCCTCTCCTTTGAGCAATGGGGACAGCTCTTCTGGTACCTCCCTGCTACCAGCCGGCCTAGGGCAAAGGGAGATGACGAGCCCCTGGATATGCCCCCTCCCAGCTGCAGCCACGGAGCAGAGGTGAAGCTGGCAAAACTGGGGGTGGGGTGTGTGAACTGATGGGGACCAGATTAATTGCTGGGCAGGAGGTGGGTTAGATGGGTGGAAGGAGCTCCTGCACAAGGGCTAAAATTGCCTGTCCCAGTAAATTTGGGAGGGTGGGCAACACTAATTGTGCACACACACACGGGGGTCGGGTAGGGGGAGTTCAACAATCAAAAGATGGGACAAAAAATTCACAATACCGTGTAATCTTTTTCTTTAAAAATCTCATGATTTTTGATGTCCTGAGGTTGGCAAGGAGCCCTGGGTTTTTCAGCTCAGCCTCTGCAAATATTGACTGTGGAAGGAGAAACACCCTGGGGGTGCATGTTTGGGAGGGGGGCAGTGATTCCCAGCCGCAGCTTGGGCGGGGGTTGGGGGGTGAGGTGTGGGGGAGTTCAGATGGGGGTGGAGTGTGAACTCCTGGGGCTAGGCGGAAAGGGGATGGGGGGCAAGTTAATGATTACCTGGAGCAGGGGTGGCCAACCTGAGCCTGAGAAAGAGCCAGAATTTACCAATGTATATTGCCAAAGAGCCACGGTAATACGGCAGCAGCCCCTCATCAGCTTCGCACCCCCCCTGCTCCTAGAGCCTCCCACCCACCAGCAGCCCTGCTGATCAGTGCCTCCCTGAGCCCTGCACCTCCTGATTAGCTGCTTCCTGGCGAGGGGGAAGGAGCGAGGGCAGTGCGGGCTCATGGGAGGGGGCAGGAAGGGGTGGAGTGGGGGCAGGGCCTGTGGCAGAGCCAGGGGTTGAGCAGTGAGCACCCCCCGGCTCATTGGAAAGTTGGCGCCCGTAGCTCCAGCCCCGGAGTCGGTGCCTGTACCAGGAGCCGCACGTTAACTCGTGAAGAGCCGTGTGGCCTGGAGGGTAAAGGACAAAGCAGCTAGCCTCTGAGTACCATACAGAGGCAACTGGCTTTTTATTATTTCCAGAGCACTGTGTGCAAATATAACAAGTAGTAAGGAAACCAAGCAAGTGAAGCTCTCCCCCCGCGACAGAGCGTGACTACACTGCCCACGTCCCAGCGCCAGCCGCAGCCACACTGTAACACAGGCAGTGTGGTCACACCCTAACAAACCAAGCGGAGCCCTCGCTGAGAGATCTTGCAGCCTGAAGGCACTTAGGAGCAAAACAGCAAGAATGTACAGCTGCTGGCATGTGTTATGGCCTTGATCTCATGGCAGGAGGGGGAAGTGCCTTGCATCATGCACCAGCAGCTCTCTCTGCACCATTCCCCCTCTGACTCCTCCCCGGAGACAATTAAAGTGGTAACAGCAGAAAGATCATTGGGTCCCAGTAGAACACAGGCTGTTTTGTTACCTAGGTTCAGTAATTCCACTTATTAGTGAATTTGGGGCCCACGCTCAGTCGAGGCAGTGCCTCCGAGTTAGTGATCTGCACTGCTGTGCTTTGTTATTATGGGGGCGGGGTGGGAGGGATTGCCCCGAAGTTAGGCTTTGCAATGATCTCCCAAATGCATGACGCAACCTTTTGCAGGAGCTCTGCCTTCCCGTATTGACGGAACATGGGGGAAATGCAACATCCTGTTATGAAGCTGCATTGAAACGCATGGTACATTTCAGCTTTGCTAGCAATCAGTCCCCAGTGATCAAGGCACCTGACCAGTGCTAGGGTTATGTATGGCTAGAGATGCTCTGTGCAGGAAATTTGGTTTTGCCAGGCTTAGCTTCCTCACACCAGCAGGGGGCAGGAGTGCTGCATCGAAAACACATGAAGAGTGTCTAAGTGGACCTCAGGTAGGTCCTCTCTGGTTTGCCAAGGGCTCTGACAGGGGCCCAGATTGTGGTCCCTGTAACAGAAAAGTGGGTGGTGAGGGGATGCAGGGATGCCTGGATTGTAAAAGACATCCCTGTCCTTGTCCCCAGGTCAGGGGTGGCCCGCCTGTGGCCTTGGAGAAAATAGACATTCAGGCTGAAAGCTGAGACTCCCGTCAAAGGCTAAACAGAAAACAAGGGACTCCAAAAAATTAGCCAGCAGCACGCTGCTGAGTGAAGACAGCTTTTTCAGACACCCAGGCAGCCGGCAGGCTGTGGAGTTGGGGGATATGAAAACCACAAAACCCACTTGAGAGAGCTGAGAACATGCGTTGATAAACCACAATGCAGCCGGCCTGTGTGTCTCTTTAAGAGCTTGCTTGGCTCTGTGCCATCTCTGTGCCCGTCCCTCCTCTCTGTGATACGTAGCTCTGTCCTAGCCTCCTCGCACGCTGCTGTCTGTGAGTTCCTTCTCTGCCTCATCAGGATGGCCTCTCAAGGTCCCCGGAAGTTGGAGGAGAAGCTGGTCTGCTCCATCTGCCTGGAGATGTTTGGGACAGCGGTGACCATGCCCTGTGGGCACAACTTCTGCATGAAGTGTATCAACAACCACTGGGATAAGGAAGAGAAGGAGGCTTCTCCGGACAAGAAGGACTACACCTGCCCCGACTGCAGGCAACACTTCGAGAAGCGGCAGGAGCTCAGGAAGAACGTCGCCCTTTGCAGCGTGGTGGAACTGATCAGGTCTGGGGAAGTGCAGGCCTCCAGCGCCGAGAGGAAAACCCCCGCCAATGGAGCGAGGTGCTCCAGGCATGGGCGGCCTCTGGAGCTGTACTGCCAAGAAGACAAAATGTGCATCTGCTGCGTGTGCACAGTGAAGGAGTGCCGGGACCACCACAGGGTCCTGTTCGAGGAGGAGCGCAAGAGAAAGGAGGTAGGTCTCCCCTGTGATCTGCTCCCAGTCTGCAGGGCCATGGCGAGAGAGATCAGCTCTCCTGCCTGCCTCTGTGTCAGTCCTGCAGGTGGGAGGGTGGGTGAGTGTGCTCTCCTCGTTGAAGCAGAAGTTTGGTGCCTGGGATGCTATTCCTGACCCTGGCTTGTGGGGCTGTGTGGCCTTGGCTAAGTCGTTTACCCTCTGCATGCCTCAGGTTCCCTGTCTGTAAAAGAGGCAGTGAATCCATGCCCCTCTCTGATGACCCTTGGATGAAAGGAGAAAGAGATACAAGCGTAAAGTATTCGCATATTTTAACTAGACCAAGGCTCAGCAGAACTGGCAGCTATTGCAGCGTGTTTGGACACTAAATAGTTAATATGGCTGGTATGCTGTCTGGAAACCAGCTCCTGGTCTTCCTCCCAGCTTCCATGTGCGCGCGCACCAAGTCCCGAGCTGTACAGGGAGACGCAACAGACCTTGAGAGCATACGCAGCACCGAGCTGAGGAGGTTTGACTGTGATGGGGTGTTAAGCCATGGCCAAAGGAATAAGTTTTATTTAGGGATCAGAGTCCTCTGCTGGTTGGATGCACCTGCTGCCCAGGACGTCAGGGGAGAGACCCAGGCTTGCACA